CTCACACAGTGGCCAGCCAGTTCCTCTGGAGGGCAAAAAACAGGGCAGAGAGGCCGAGGCCTTCCCCTGAGAAGAACCTCAGAAGAGCCCTGCTGGATCAGACCAGGGAGGGTCCACCTAGTCCAGCCTCCCGTCTCACACAGGGGCCAGCCAGTTCCTCTGGAGGGCCAGCCACAGGGCAGAGAGGCCCAGGCCTTCCCCTGATAAGAACCTCAGAAGAGCCCTGCTGGGTCAGACCAGGGAGGGTCCATCTAGTCCAGCCTCCTGTCTCACACAGGGGCCAGCCAGTTCCTCTGGAGGGCCAGCAACAGGGCAGAGAGGCCGAGGCCTTCCCCTGATAGGAACCTCAGAAGAGCCCTGCTGGGTCAGACCAGGGAGGGTCCATATCTGTGTCACAGTTGGGTGGGCGCAACCCCCGGCCAAACTACAGCTCGTGCTTGTCTCCAAACGGGGATGCAGTGTGAGGCCAAAGGTCACAGACAGTGGCAGAGTGGGAGACGGGGACCCCTCTGGGTCTCGGCCTGCCCCGGAGCGCCCGCCGCCTGTGCTGCTGGCTCTTCCTCTCTTCAGCACCGGCGTCCAGCCCGGGGCCCTCTGAAGTGGGCAGAGACCCAGTGGTGACAAAGACATGGCACGAGCCCCAGTTTGGGGTGCCCGGCCTCGTCGCCTTCCTCCCAGCCCCGTCCGCCCAACCGGCGCAGGAGACGCAGCCGGGAGAGGAACCGACCTCGTGCTTGATGGAGCGGGCGCCGTAGTGCAGGTTGTAGCCCTCCGCCAGGATGTCCATGACTTCAGGGTCCCACAGCAAAGTGATGTTGTGCCTGGCCTTGGCCTGCAGGGGGAGAGAGTGAGAAGCGGCCTGTCTACGAGGCCTCTCTCCTTCCTTCCTCGGCTCTGCCGGCCTCCCCTGCAGCTGAGCGGACGCGGAAAGGGAAAGGGGGGTCGCCTGCCTCTGGGGCGCTGGTTTTACTCACCCTCTTGGCCCAGAAGCTGAGCTCCTTGCTGACCAGCTGGATGAGCTCCGAGCGGCAGAAGGGGAGGAAGTAGACCATCTCGTTGATCCGGCCGAGGAACTCGTGCCTCCGGAAGTGAGCCTATGGAGGGAGGAGGGGAGGTGCTGGGAAAGGGGGCTGTGGACCTGAAACACTCAGAAGCCACCGTTTCTGGCGAACAGATCCAGACCAGGGCAAGGTGTTGCTGGGCTTGACAGACAACGTGGCGGAGAGAGCACAACCGGCCAGTTTTATTTGCCAGCATCCATTACTCTTCTGTGGGGGAAAGCGCCATCGAGTTGCGACTAACGAATGGCCACCCGGTAGGGCAGTGGTGGCGAACCTATGGCGTGGGTGCCAGAGGTGGCACTCAGAGCCCTCTCTGTGGGCACGCGTGCCATCGCCCCAGCCAGGCCCAGACCATCGTTAAAGTGTCGGATTCTCTGCCAAATAATTTTAAGTAAATGAAAGCATTTGGGATTGCTTCCCTTACTTTGTTTGGATCATCTTAAGTTAATGCATGAGTAGGTTTTTTCTAAAGGAAAACCTCAGGATTCAGGTTAAATTGCCCTGTTGGCACTTTGCGATACATAAGTGGGTTTTGGGTCCCAGTTTGGGCACTCGGTCTCTCAAAGGTTTGCCATCACTGCAGTAGGGTCTCCAAGACGAGAGACGTTCAGAGGTGGGTCTGCCATGGCCTGCCTCTGCTTAGCCGACCGGGAGCTTCCTTGCTGGTCCCCCATCCAAGGACTCATCGGGGCCGACCCCTGCTTCACTTCTGAGAGTTGATGAGATCGGGCTAGCCTTGGCCGTCCCCTTCTAAACATCCCCGAATTCTCAAGCATTTCCCGGCAGGCCTGAATAGGTGCCTGGCTTCCCACCCCCTCTGCAAGTTTACGATGGGTGGGCCTGTCTCTGGGAGGCTGCTTTCCGTGGGCGGTCTGCATTTCTGACCTCGTGAAACCCAGTTTGGTGTCGTGGTTAAGTGCGCGGACTCTGATCTGGGAGAACCGGGTTTGATTCCCCACTCCTCCACTCGCAGCTGCTGGTGTGACCTTGGGTCAGTCACAAGCTCTGGCACAGCTGTCCTTGAAAAAGAGCAGTTTGTGTCAGAGTTCTCTCAGCCCCACCCACATCACAGGGTGTCTGTTGTGGGGAGGGGAAGGGAGAGGAGTTTGTCAGCCGCTCTGAGACTCTAAGTGAAGGGCGGGATATAAATCCATTCTCTCCTCTCACCCTTGCGTTTATTTGCCCGTGGGAAGATGCGAGCGTCTTTTTCAGCTCGTTGGCTCACCTGGGACAAACACGGAGACCCCTCCCCTTTCAAACCCAAAGCTCCATCGGCAGCTCCCCTCCCATTCATTCCGGCGCCTTCCCCAAAGGAAGCTGGCTGGAAAGGAACACTTGCTCCTTGCCCTGGGTGAGTGCAAGCTTAGGGAACCCGAAGGGAGCTCAAAGGTGGGCGGGAGGATGATTGGCAGCACCGTCTGTACCTTCAAAATGGGGCGAACAACGTTCTCCTGGAACTGCTTGGAGATGGTGATCTTGTCAGTCGCCTGGACGTCATCTGAAAAGCAGGACACGGGTCATGATCAGCAGCCGACAGGTCCTACGGCACAAGAGGGGAGGGGTTGTCCCGCCTCACATGGGGGTCAACCAGTTCCCCTGAAGGGCCAGCAACAGGGCAGAGAGGCCGAGGCCTTCCCCTGATAGGAACCTCAGAAGAGCCCTGCTGGATCAGACCAGGGAGGGTCCACCTTCTCTGGAGGGCAAACAACAGGGCAGAGAGGCCGAGGCCTTCCCCCAATAAGAACCTCAGAAGAGCCCTACTGGGTCAGACCAGGGAGGCTCCCTCTAGTCCAGCCTCCCGTCTCACACAGGGGCCAACCTGTTCCTCTGGAGGGCCGACAACAGGGCAGAGAGGCCGAGGCCTTCCCCTGAGAGGAACCTCAGAAGAGCCCTGCTGGATCAGACCAGGGAGGGTCCACCTAGTCCAGCCTCCCGTCTCACACAGGGGCCAGCCAGTTCCCCTGAAGGGCCAGCAACAGGGCAGAGAGGCCGAGGCC